ACTATTTTTTAATTCAAATAAAGTAAATATGATTGTGTTTATGTTTGGCGTCTATTTGTTTGTCAGTAAACAGTGAAAATGTTTCGATAATTGACATTTACGAAACATATCGCTGTTTTTTTTAAAAATAAAGATAGTAGGAATCGTCGTGAGAAGGTTTTAATCTAGATAAGTAGAATAATTAATTTATTTGTTTTCAATTTCATCGTTTTGATATCGGTAGAGAAAATGAAAATGATTTATTTCTAATAAAATATCGATCCGATTAATAAAGAAAATAATCGTCTATATTTGTTTTTCTGGTATCTGGGTACGATATCTTATTTATATTAAAAAATACTAAAAAAATCTATATTAAAGGAAACGATTAATTGATTATTAAGTTGTTTATTCTATTAAACGAAAAAAATCAATTGTTTATAGGATTTTGATCATATGTTAAGTAAGAAAGCGCAAATCATCTTATATAATAGACGATAGAAGATAATATGAATAAGTTAAACCATATTCTATTCTATTAATAACATTGGAAAGGTTAAAGAGTTCGTTTGTTATTAATGATAAAGATAGTTCGAGTTCAATTTAAAAACGTCTGATGGTTAAACATTGGCTTGAACGTTGAACCGTTTTTTGTCGGGTGTCAGTTGGTGGTTATGAATGTAAAGGGTATCATCAATTATTAAGTTTAGTTCGATTTGTTTTTCTTCGAGTTATACTCGTCTAACATATCGGTAAAGATTTTTTATTTATTTATTTGATAAAATAATATATTTATAGTTATATTGAATAATTCATTAAAATCTATAAAATAATTGTTATTGTAATTAAAAATAATTGACATATATTAACGAATAATCTTTAAAAAAAACGTGATCGTTTCTTATAGTCGTTATCAATCGATCTATCTATATAATTGATTAAAGGATTTCATTTATCGGTTGCCGTTGTGGAATGTTCTTAGGAGTGTTACCAAAAAAAGAATCGACTAAATAATCATTATGATAAACATTTATAATGAATTTTTCAAAATGTTCTAAACAAGAAAAATAAGAAAAGATAATAAATGAAATGATCGTCGTCCATCTCTTCAGAGAATTTTTATTTAGTTAAATAAATTCTAAGGCAAGAATACCGATTGATATTATTAAGGAAGAGTTTCCTTCTATTTCATCTCTTTAGACTTATTTAGAAGATTTTTCTTTTTATTTTCTTCTCTCAATTGAATAGGTCAAATAGTTATTTGTTTATCTAACATTCCTCCTATTTAATTATTCATTTTCTTCTTTCGTTTTCGTTTAGGAATATCGTGTTGTCTATCAACGTCACATTCTTCTCAATTTTGTTATTAAACTTTCATCATGATGATATAGATCAACAAATCCATTTATTAAATAAACAAAAACTCATATATATATATATATATATATATTTATTTTTTTTTTTTTTTCTGAAGACAACGATTGTTACCAAACGAAGTTAATTAAAATAATGGAGATCAATCAACATAACGATAATATTTATATAAAAAGATTTGTATTGATAAATTCTATAAGAGTTTATTTATATTCAATATAAAATAATCTTCAATTAATATTTTAATTTAAATTGAATTCGAGATTTATTCTATGAAGTTTTATCATATTTATATAAAAACTAATTTATATAACAATATATCTCAAAAAGAAAATTGTTTATTTATTCGAATGTTAATTCTAAGTCTTCTTCCTTGTTTTGAACAAACAGAATAAATAATCGACTCTCACTTAAATATCCATTATAACAGTGAAAAGAGAAGAAAAATAATCTTATATATTCGTATTATAAAAAAGAATTTTATTGACAATTCGAATATGTTTATCTCAGATCGAATTTTATTATAGGATATATATTAACAAATCATCTCTTACAATCATATTTTAACTTCTTTCAACTAGATTCGACTAGATAATCGACCATTTATTTATATTCTTCAACGATATTCATCATTTTTATTACTTAACAAAAAAAAAATTAACTTAAATCATAGGACATACCATTTTCGATGTGATTTACCTCTTATAGTTCTATTGTTATCATACATGTATTACTTGAAACTTGAATTCAACTATTCAAGTATTCAATTATTCAAGTGATATGATGCCTTATATTACTTTCTAGGAAAGTCCATAGACTTTCCGCACCAAATCAGTTTCTTGAAAAAAAAATTGCTTTTCCGCACTAGAAACATTGCCAGAAACCCAAAATCAATTTCCGAAAAATACACTTTCGCTTTTCCAAAACAAAAAACTCTCTCCAAGAAAAACCGAGATCCGAAAACACAAAGATCAAACCATGGAAACACTGAATGGGGTTTCCAAAAGATTGTCGACTGTCGATGTGGGTGTCGAGGCGGGTTCTTGTAGACGTGGGTGACTCAAAACGACTCACACGCGTCTGCCAAGCTCTGCATCCCAGAAAACAACTCACATGTCTCCCCTCATCTGTGAATGCTACGAGAGAACGAGTCGGAGAACGACAAGCCACGAAAGGACTCATCGAGAAAGGACTGAGAATAATACGACATATATCACATTGTACCCGCTATGGGTGCCGCGAAAGTATTGACTGAGAAATGTCTGAGAACAATACGACACATGTCACATCGCACCTGGTGTGGCTGCCACGAAAGGACTGAAAATAATACGACACACATCACTTCGCAGCTGCTGTGGGTGCCGCGAAATGAGTGACCACCAAAGGACTGGCTGCGAAAGGACTGAGGACAATACAAGGCACATCACATCGCACCTTGTGTGGGTGCTGTTAAAGAACTCAGAAGAATAGGACACATACGACATTGCACCTGCGGTGGGTTTCGGGGGAGGACTGGCCGCTATAGGCGTGGTCAGGAAAATGGCTGGTTGTGAAAGTGTTTGGATCAATAGAAGACAGGTTACCTTGCGGAAGGTGTGAGTTTCGGAATTGGAGTCTCGGGTAAGGAGTTTACATGATTGTAGATGATCTCTGTCTGGGGAGAATGATGAGACGGTCTACAACAGTTGAGAAGGACACGTGAGCATGCGTCGTTACCATGGGTGCTGTGTAAAGAGTACTTGAATTGTTGAATAATTGAACTTTAACTTTCAAGTTTGATACTAGTGCAAATTTCAACAAAATCTTTTTGAACAATATTCAAAAACCGATTAGAATTAATCCTTTTTTCGACATATAGGAAAACGTTTTTATCTGATATTCTAAGAGTAACTATTATCGAATCTATAAGGAAGACTCTCGAATGTTTTTTATAAAATTTATTATCGTTGAATAGTATCTCTCTTGGAAACGATATATGTTTCTTTTATGTCCATCTTCCATTATGAATAGTACAGGCATTTATGACAAAACTAGAGTTTATTTGAAGAGCAACAACAATTTTATCCGTTTGTTTTTAATAGCTGTGACACTCTTTCGATTGATTATCTGTATATAGGAAACAAGTTTTTATATTAAATATATATCGAATTATATTTTATTGTTCAGAAATCTTCAGTTAACCAAATATCAATTGAGAATAATTTTCCACAAACAAATATAGGGTGTGGGTGTGTGGGCGTGGGTGTGGGTGTGGGTGTGGGTGTGGGTGTGGCTAGTATTACTTCTCCACCTTCCTCCACTCACACCCACACTCGCACCCACACCCACATCCACACCCACATCCACACCCACATCCACACCCACATCCACGCCCACACTCACGTCCACACCCACACCCACATCCACACCCACATCCACGCCCACACTCACGCTCACACCCACACCCACACCCACACCCACACCCACACCCTTTGCATCTCATTTCGTAGTCGAGTGAAACTGAAATACCATCTAGTTCCTTTTTTTTTGTTTCTCGAGATATTTTATTATTTAAGCGAAATATTTTCAAAAAAAAATTGAATGCACGTGATAGGTCTGCTTTGATTGTTTTTTTTTAAATTAATCCAATCTTTTTCATTTCACATTAGTAACATCAATATTGAAAAAATCTTTACGTAAAATTCTAAATTTCAATTATTATCTTAAAAAAAACCTGTTGGAATGAAATTTAACTTTCAGTTTTATAAATCTTTTAATATTTTATTTAATTAATTCGTATTTAAGAAATCAATAAACAAAATTGGTGATTAAACGCGATTTATCGTTCTGATTTATCGCTCATTCTTAGAAAATCGTTTTTTTTTCTTTCATAATCTCGATAAACTCTTATTAAATCGATGATTTTCTTGTGTAATATGATTAATCACAATTTTACGCCGATTTTTTTTTCAAAATAGCAAAAATCGTCGCGATTTTCAATAAAAATGTAATATTTTAATTTCATCCTCTGAATAAATGTTAAGACATTCAGCGCCATCTGGCACATTAGTGTACTTGTCATTTGATATTGATTTGATGATTCATTCTTATTTGACAATATACTTAAAAAAAAGGAACTTGAATTGTACTAAATCCGTTGATATATCATATTTGTATCGAAAAAAATAATATTTTTTTTTAAAGTCAATTGATCATGTTAATCCACCACCCAGGTCCAATAAAACGGCGTCGTAAACGGCCTCAAACGGCTATAAAACGGCGATTAACGATGTAAAACGTCGATAAACGGCACCGTAGTCCGTCATACCAGATTACGGAAGCAAAACCGGAAAAAAACGACCGCCGTTTTCTAGCGATAGACGGTGGTCGTAATACGGTATGACGGATTACGGCGAAATAAGGCCAAAATTACTGCAGTAATTCGCCGTTTTATAGTCGTTTCAGGCCGGATACGACGCCGTTTCCGACGGCCGGAATGATCCACCTGGGCAGAAGTTCATCAACCAGCTGCAGGAACATAACAACAACAACAACTTATAACAACTAATGATGAAAATAATGAACAAAAAAATATTAATTTATTTCTTCAACATCCAATCAACATCAATAAAACATTAACAGATTTAGTTGAAAAATTTCATCAACAAATGGAACAACAAAATAAATTTTTTGCTGAACAAACATTATTTATGAAAAAAATTTCACAACATTTAAATATTGATTCAACTGAGCATGTAATTTTTATTTATTATTATATTTATAATGAAACATTTATTTTTTATTTATTTTTTGTTTTTCTAGAAAATGGAAATTAATATTGATAATAAAATGAATTTAGAAGTTCACGTAAGTTTGAAAAAATAAATTTAGAAGTTCACGTAAGTTTGAAAAAATAAATTTTATAATATTATTATTATTTTTAATTAAAGAATTTCCATCATCATTATGTTAAATTACGTGAAAATGAAAAAAATAATAAATTACATCAGTTATTTGATCAAATTAAAAATATTAAAAATGAAAAAATTATTATTTTTGTTAAATCAATTGTACGTAGTGGTGTTTTGAGAAGAAATTTACCTGGAAATTTCTCTGCTATTGAAATTAATCTTAGTATTGCAAAAGAAGAACGGTGAGTTTATTTTTTAAGTAATAAAAAAAAAATAATTTATAATTGTTTTAGTCAACAACGTTATGAAGAATTTAACATATTTTCAACAACTATTCTTATTACAACTGATTTACATGAAGATAATGTGAATTTTGAAAATGTTAATATTATAATTAATTATGATATGCCAGCAGATACTTATCTTTTTCGAGTACGTTAAGATGAAAATTTATTTGTATTTATTAAAATATTTAATTTTAGGTTGCTCGTGCTGGTGGATTAGATAAAAATGGTTTAGCAATAACATTTATTACAAATGAAAATGAGATGGCAATTCTTAATAATGTTAAAAGTCATTTAAAAGTACAAATAACTGAAATGCCCGATGATATTGATGTAGCTACATGTAATATTTCTTTTTTTGTGAAACACGATCTGAAAGGAGTGTTGAAGTGTTTAGGGATAGAAATTTGGACCCACTCCCCCCCACAGACCGTGACAGAGAAAATCCATACCCATCACAGACCGTGACAGAGAACCCGGGTACCCATCACAGACCGTGACAGAGAACCTTGGTACCCATCACAGCCCGTGACAGAGAATCCAGGTTACCCATCACAGACCGTGACAGAGAATCCAGGGTACCCATCACAGACCGTGACAGAGAATTCAGGGTACCCATCACAGACCGTGACAGAGAACCCTGGTACCCATCACAGACCGTGACAGAGAATCCAGGGTACCCATCACAGACCGTGACAGAGAATTCAGGGTACCCATCACAGGCCGTGACAGAGAACCCTGGTACCCATCACAGACCGTGACAGAGAATTCAGGGTACCCATCACAGACCGTGACAGAGAACCCTGGTACCCATCACAGACCGTGACAGAGAATCCAGGGTACCCATCACAGACCGTGACAGAGAATCCCAGGGACCCATCACAGACCGTGACAGAGAATCCAGGGTACCCATCACAGACCGTGACAGAGAATTCAGGGTACCCATCACAGACCGTGACAGAGAATCCCAGGGACCCATCACAGACCGTGACAGAGAACCCTGGTACCCATCATAGACCGTGACAGAGAACCCTGGTACCCATCACAGACCGTGATAGAGAAGCTGTAGTTGTAAAAGATCAGATAAACGGTTAACTACAAATATGTCGCAAAGGAACGGAACAAAAGGATTTCTATTTAATTAGTAACAATAGATTCATCGTGTTTCACATTTTTAATCCCGCAAGGGATTGCGCTAACAGCTTTTTTACTGATTTATATTTTAAGAAAATGTTTTTTTTTTTTTAGTGGAAAATCATTAATTTACAAGTGATATTCATTTGATGAAATGTATGAACTCTTTTCTTTTCTCATCTTGTTTTTTTTGTTATTACTTTTTTTGGTTATTTTCTTTTGTTCATTCGAACATTTCTTTTTTTTTTCTCTTGTATGTTTTCCTTAATGGTATACAAACAAGGGCAACAATAAAAATGTTAAAAGCATACATGAAAATTTTTTTTATTTTGTTTTTTTTTCCTTATATACCTATATAACTAAACAAAAAGAATTTCTTTTCATCAATGTAACATACCTAAGAAATTAACCATGTGAAAGATTAAAAAATTAGTGATATATTCATTTGATTTAATATTAAATAAATAAGGTAAAACTTGTTCTAATAAACAACATGTTGATGAACATCTTCGAAATAGAATTAAATCAAATATAAAATAAAGTGCACGACCTGTTTCATAAATTCTATTTGATGTATTTATATTTATTAATAAACGTACAATTAAATAATTCATTGGAACATATTTTGAACAAATATATAATGTACGTGGTTGTTCAAAATCAAGAAATTCATTTATAATATGTGTATCAAATAATATTTGAATAAGTGATGTTGATGTTTGAGATGATAACAAAGATAATATATTAACTATTAATGATGATGATGATAGAGTTAGAATCATTGAATAATATGGTAATAATGAATTATCAATAAAATCTGACCATAATTGACGTTTTATAGCATCAAGTAATGAGAATGTTGTTAAAGTGGAATCAGTTTGTGTACCTGTAAAATAAAAGATTATTCAATAAAAATGAGTATTAAATTAAAATGGACATATTTAATGAAATATTATCCTCAACATCTTCACTTCCTCAAGATTTTTCATGACTTTTAAGTATATCTCGACTATGTTAAATTTATTTTATTTAATTAATTGATTCTATATGAATAATATTTTCAATCCATGGTCTTTCATTTTCATTAGCTTTTTGATAATTAGCTATAAGTCAAAGAAGTACATGTATAAGTGAACCATATGAAACACATGTTAAATAAATAATTAATTGTATAAGAATTTGTTTTGTTTTATCTAATGATAATGGTTGAAGTTGTCCAAGTAAATAAATTGTTTTAGATAAATATTCAATATTTGTATATTTTATTTGAATATTTTCATTATTAAAATTTTAAATATTCATTAAAAATTTATCTTTTTTTATTGATGATATTTCACCAAAGGAATTATTTGTTAATAAAATATAAATGCGGAAACTTCGGATTTAAATCCGAGAGTTATGTGTACTTCAAAAAGTGAATTAGACAGATAAGTCATCCTAGAATGTCTTGACATCAAAATTACACTGGGGAAACTTTTCTATAAACTGTTGTTTTCTATTGGCTATTGTCCAACCAATAGGACTTGGGACCGAATACAGCTCAAATTTGAACTCTTTCCCTTGATTTACCCTAATAAAGTCGTTTTTCCTATAACTTGATTTCTATTGGTCACTGCTTAACCAATAGTATTTCGATGGAAGTGGAGTACAGATTCGAGTTCTCCACCCCAGAAAACCTCGAAGCATCATCACTGTGATCGGAAGACAGAGCTCTAAACGTGGATCAATTAGATCGTGGACAAAAACATAACCTAGTTCTCTTTAATTATCTCTGTGATAGGTGAGTTAACCTTCTTGTTTCTTTATGTTTTATATACCATTTTGTAGCTCTTAAAATTCTCTATCGAATGGTATATAATAGTTGGGGTTTTAGTTGACTATGATAGGAAAAGTTGCTTACGAAAGCGGGAATGGGTCGATCTTCCATAGAGAAGGTGCAGGAAAAAATGAGTATTTTTGCAATAACTCAGGAAGGGCTCGGCCAATCCTTCTCATCTTCGAACTCGACCGAGATATTGTTAAGACTGAACTGTGTAGAAAATTTCATCGCGATCTGACTCTCCTTTCAAAAGTTATCGTGTAAAGGGACGGCCGGCCGGACACACTGACCGATTCTAGAGTGTACTCACTTTTTGAGTACACAAAAAAAGGATTTCTTATCATATTTTCCATCCGAACGAAAAGCTTGTTTGTTTCCAATGAATAAAACAAATGAAAACCTTCCTTTTCATCTGATTTTTTTTAACCTGACAATATTGTTCTTTTTCTAATTATAAAGGAACGAGACTTATGAGAGTACTTGACTAAGTTTATAAAATAAGAAATGTAGTTTTAAAAATATTATTACAGAGTAAAAAAAAGGAAGTAATAGAAAATGAGAAAATTTGTAATATAAAAACAATTATTCTTCTCCTTTTTTTAAAATGTCAATTTTTCAATATTTCAAGGACAAATATTAGTATAACAGATTACTTATCATTAAGTTTTTGTCTTGTTGAGAAGAATAAGAGAACAAACAAGATTGTTGACAACATTTTTGTTCATTGCACGTCGATTTATTACAGATATTGAACATGATTAACATATGAATCGATTCGTACTTAGAGGTGTAAGCCGCGCCGCCGACGGGTCTTTGTTTCCTTGCACCACGGTGACGGCTGGACGTCGGCTCTGTACAAGTGAACAAAGATCGTCGGCGGCGCGGCTTACACCTCTATTCGTACTTGTACAAAATACTATTTTACCTGTAATTTATTCTTTAACATCATTATTAGTACTTATTGGTAGTGGACTTATATATCGAGTATGTTTACAATGTTGCAATAATATATATTCTCAATCAACACTAAACTTATCATTAAGTACAACAAGAGTATATTTTTACTTAATCTTGCAATAGCTGATACATTATCAGATTTAACAATTCCAATTCAATTTATATTTCGTTCAAAATATTTTTTGAAAAAATGTTCTTGTAGTTTATATATATGTCTATTAAGTAAATCAATAGAAATTCTTGGATATAATGCATCAACATTAACAATATGCATAATTGCTGTTGATCGTTTTCATCTTGTATATAATCAATTAAAACAGCGTCATCGAATAAAAATTCGTTGTGCTCTTTTATTTATATGGATTTTACCTAGTCTATTTTCAACAAGTGGTTTAATATCAATTAAAGTCAATACATATTTTAATTCATATCAACAATTAATTAGTTGTCAAATACTTTTTTTTCCATTAACAGCGAAAATATTTTTCTAATGATTATATTCATAAGATACGTATTTCTTGTCTGATATTTTTATTTTACATTATATCACATTTTATCAACATTACATTATGTATATTAACAAGACTTACAATCACGGACACGTTCAATACGTTTATTAATGGTTATTGTTATTGTTTTTGCTTTATCTCATTTATCTGGACATTGTATTAATGTACGAGACTTTTTTATTTCATCATCAAAAACATTAAATGTTCGTTCGACACAAGTAAATAAATGTAACTATTCAACAATGTATTGATTATTTTATTGACTACATAGCAGTAGTTGTTGTCACAATTCAATCATATATGGTTGATTTAATAGATAATATCAAACTATAGTTATTTAATTGCTATCGATCGAGAGCATACTGCGAACGACAACGATTGTAGTATTAAAACTATTGAAAAGAAATTGCATTCTTTTTTCTTTTTTCTTTTTTTTTTAATGCAACTCATAAAAAATTTATTTATTCAATTCACATTATAACTTATGAGCAATAAAATATAATTGAGAGGAATAAAATAAATATCGTTAAACGTTAATTTTAATATGTTTAAAAATTACTTTAGATAGGGATTCGTAATATCTAATAAAATCAAAAACAAACAACAGGAAACTATTTCATACAATTTCATATAATCTAATAATGTACAAACTGCTAACGGATACTTATAAATACATTAAATTTAGATAATTCTTACTTGACAAAAATACTATACAATACTAATTTACATTTTTCTTTTCTAACATTTATGACTAAGCAATAAACATTTAAAAAGAAAATATATATATATATATATAAACATCATTGATATTTTTCTACAGTGACATGTCATTAATTGATTAACTTTTCTTCTATGCCTTGTAAACATAATTTGAGAAGTGCGTCGACATTCTATTTTTATTTAATATATTGTCTTGTATACATGAAATGAAAGGTGCTTGTTTTGACACGTATTCTGTCGATTTGCTCTCTGGTTTGTGTGTTCAGCATACACACACCCACAAAGTCCAAACATTGTCATCCAAGATGTAATTGAATTTGCATGACCAGACAGTAGACGTTGATATAAACCATCTCTATACTTTTTGCAGTTCTTATTTGCATTTTCCTCATTGAAAAATAAACCAGTGTGCCAAACATTAGTTGTTGTACTTACTAGAGATGAGCGATGTTTTCTTTTTAATATAGTGTTCAAATATCCTTCCTGTGTCATCCATTCAAGTAAAAAAAACATAACTCAACATTAGAATAAAGCAGAATTTATGAGATGTGTGTCATGCTCATTTCTTTTTTTTCTTTCATTTCTATTTCAAAGATGACATACGTTGACGTTGTCTTTATTCTAGTTTAATTATATTAGCAACCCTGTAGTTAAATTTTATATTCATTCTTTTCTTTTCTTTTTTTGTATTTAGTTCTTTATATACACCTATCCCGTCAACGTTGAGACGATGAACCTTCTTCATTTGTCTCTTTATTCCTTAAGCATACATTCATTTATTTTACTCAATGAACAACATCGCTTTCGAACTCATCCATTGTATACACATGCGCATCATCCGTTTAGATTCATATATCTTTTTCTCTTCTTGTCGTCCTTTTTAGTTGACTAGCTAGAAGTTTGTCCTGGCGTCGTCGGACGCGCTCAAATTTCGAGCTGTATACTAGAGAAGAAAAAGGGATAATGCCAAAGTTAGACGACATGTTCTCTCCTATTTTTTCTTTCATTTGCGTTCTGTAGTAAGAAAAGGTGTATTACCTTCATTCACACATAAGCGATACAAGAGTAAGAAGACAAAACGTAGACAATAACTAGCTTTTTCTTGTCATTTTTTTCATTATACCGGACATTTGAGAGATAGAGAAAGAAGAGCAGAAAAATTCCATTTTTTTTTTCATCGTTAGTAGATTATATCGCATGAGAAAAGGAGAGAAAAAAAATGAGCTTTTTTTTTTTGACATCATTCATTTCTTTATATCAGAGTCATAGAATAAAACGACAGCGCCGACAACCTCAAGAATATTTTTTTCCCTTTTCTTTTTCCTTTTTAATGTTATAAATCATTATCATTAGATTTAGTATAAAACAACAAGATTAATGGATTGTTTTATTTAGATATTCCGTTAGTTGAGTAAATACAATGGCAGCTGAAATTGATGGTACTTCAAAAGGTCTATTAGGTAAGTAAATATAAAATAAAAGTCTTAATGTTAGTATGAATTCCATGTTGATGAACTCGAAAGGTATCTTGCACAGCTAAAAGTCTGTTACAAGAAAAAGCCGTCATTTGTTCTTCTTTTTTTCTTTTTCTTATATTCATTGAGTCATGTTTTTTTTTTCAAAAAGAATTATTGAAGCATAATGAAACTAGTTGAATAGGAAAAAGAGGAAAAATAAGTAGATTTGTTAAACAGGAAGTTAAATCAAACATCGTCATTTGTATTACGTACCTTCTATTTTAGGTGTATTTGCCGCATGTACACTTATAAGTGGTATTGTTTCATTAGTCTATGGGGTTTTATTATTAATCCAAAATCTTCATGTCGGAGTTTATTTTGGCGTAATTAATCTATTTACGACAAGTATCATACTTATCGTTATTGGTGGTTTATTAATAATAACGGTAGTTTTGGCTGTATCAGGTGCTTTAAAGGATATTTCGAAGTTACGTTTGGTATCACTTGTATTGCTGTCCGTTTTATTTGTAGTACTTGGTAAGAAAAAATTTCAATGATTTGCTTTTTTTTTTGTTATATTAATGTTTTGTTTTTAGTGATTGTTGGTGTTTGGGCAATGGCTTCATATAAAACAGGCCGTTTAGAAAAAAGTATAGGCGCGGATATAAAACTTTTCAGAGACAGATCGGACAAATCATCATCAGATTTCACAAAACAGGCTGATTATTTAAAAAAAGTATAAAAATCTAAAAATCAATGATATTTAAGAAAAATATTTTCGAAATTTTTTAGCATTACAATTGCTGTATTGTATATGATTCAAACACAGGTCCTACACAAACACCAGAAACTCGTTGTGTCGACTTAAGTACGAGATATTTATTTTAAAATTTATTTAATGAAATTTTTCTAGGTATTAATGAGAATGCAGATAAGAACGATTTAAAAGATGCTTGTGCTAATGCTTATTTTGATAAGAAATCTAAAGACGTTTTTCGTTTGGCTATTTTAACATTAGCCACTGCTGGTGTAGTACTTATCGGTCTTCTTTTATATGGTGTTGTATGTCAACGTGCACGTGCTGGATATGCGGCTGTTTCTCGTGGGTGATTTAATTATAAAAACTACAAAAATATACATCCTATTTGTCAAACTAATTTTTTTGACTTTTTTCTGTTGTGTTTAATTAGCATTACTCAGGATCAGTTAAAAAAGAAAATAATATATATCTATATTTCAGCTTTGTCTTGTGTTGTATGCACACATTTATTCTTGTAGTTCATCGAGTGATCTGCGAATTCCATCTAGATGGAATGAGGTTTTCTTATCTCATTAAATTTAGATTCTTCTTGTATGATTGTTTTGTGCATATGTTGCTTTGTATATTCAATTTTAAGTGTATAAATCAAAGAATATTAACAAAATACATTTATTAAAAATTAAATTAATTTTGTTATTTCATTAAATATGTTTAGAGATATTAGTTTCATTTGATAATAATATCAATGGTTTGATCTTTTGAAAAAAAAGGTTATTAGAGAAAGAGATAAAGATTAAATTGAATGTAATGATATTTATGCTATAAAAAAAAAAAGAGAAATTCAAGCACTTTGATCCGTTCAATGATGTAATGGAAATAAAAATATGCGATGACATTTGTATTAATTTATAGTCTCGATTCAAAGAAAGATAAAATAAGCTTGCAAACAAACTTTTGTATAAGTATTGTTGATTTATATGTAAAGTTTGGAATTGCAGAGTATATAGACAAAAGAAAGACGTTTTTTTTTTGATAGATATGAAATGACAAAGATGAAGCAATTCGATTGAATTGATATCTATTTTGGTATATGTTTTTTAAAAGAAAAAAAAAAGGTCATATTGATAAGATTTTTGTTATTGTCATGCAAATCAATTAATGTATTAATAATGTTACTTTTTAAGAACACATTATTCAGTGTTTCTTTTTATTTCTTTTTTCTTTCTGTTACTCTTCAAATATAGGTTCTAACTTGTTCTATTTACATCTGCGCTTATATAATACACTAGTCTGCATTTGTGATCCTACTTTCAATTTATGTATGTGTATCTGTAAACACTCGAGAGTGTTACATTTCAAAGTAAAATGAACAGAGAAAGTTTTAATGATACAATAATGAGATGTACCTTCTTCAATTAACAAGATTGAATAAAAAAAAAAGGATTCAAGATTTAATAACTGATTGTTATTATTAAAGCCTTAGTATTTTTGCATAGTATGACATCTAATACATTATTTTTAACATTTGGGTTTCTGTTATAAATTCTTAACTATCAACTTGATTAAAATAAAAAATATCAAGTGAATATATTTAATAGATAATTAAGGAAATGATAACCTAGTGATAAGTTGAAGCGAGAAAAACTTTCTTCACTTTTTCTCGCATCATCATACAATACGCTATACTAAATACATATTCAGCACGCGTTCATATAGATAAATAGATGGAAAGTTGATGCAGCGTATCGATCACATATAAAGAGAGAATGATGATTAGTGAGGAAAGCAATTATACTCATAATGAAGAGAAAGAGATAGCATTCCTATGCATTAAACGTGGCAAAACAATAAGAATAAAATTAAATATATGTAGTAATCGGTTTTGGACATTTTGTAAATCAAAAATTATTTATTAACACCATGGTTATTCAATCTGTTTTATATAACTTAAAACAGATGGTAGTATTTTAAACGACACGTTGGTTTATTTAACAAAATATTGTTGACGTCCTTATTTAATAAATAACAGTAACAAACTTATTAACTTTTGTAAGAAGAAGAATCTCATCAGAAATCATCTAAATATTTTGATATAAAGTTTTACGATAACTTGTATTCAAGTTTTCAATAATATAAGAAAAATGAAATCTTAGCAATATAATAAGAATTTACGTAGTATATAATCGACTATGAGACTTTGTTTTGCTAGATGGCATTAATATACATTGATATATAAATTTAAACTAATCGTTGATTGGTCAATTAAGAAAAAATTATTGTTGATAGATAATATAACAAGCCAGCAAGCAATATTGGATTCATCTTCATATTATACATACGAGTTTATGTGTATTATTTTCAGATTCTCTCGTATATATCTGCAACAACGTATTAAAAATGGAATTTGCCGAGAGAATGTTAAGAAAATATGGCTGGGATGCCGGTAATTCTTTTATATTTCCTTTTTGTTTTTGAAAATTTATTTTTATTTAAATTATTTTTAATTAGAAAAAGGTCTTGGTAAAAATAATCAAGGGATGAAAACAGCTCTTAAGCCAGTTTTGAAATTTGATACTCGAGGAGTAAGTTTATTTTATTATAATTTTAAAAAAAAATTCAATAAAACAAAGTTATTTCGTTTTGGTTTTGTTGTTGTTGTTTTTTCTTTGATTATTCATATATTAGTTTTAGGTTGGATGTAATCAAAAAGATGAATATTCAAGTGAATTTAAATGGTGGGAATATTCTTATAATCGAGCTGCAAAAAAACTTTCACAAACTCTTGAACAATCTGATAACGAAGAAAGAAAAGAAAAAAAACGTAAACATAAAGAAGATAATGAAGAAGAAAAACAAAGCTCAAAAAAGTCGATTTATTCTCGATTTGAAAAAGTAAATTTATATACATTCAATAGATGCATTCTAAAACATGGTACAATCAGTATTTTGTCTATAGAAGTTTTATTTATTTTCAAACGATTTTTGTATAGAAAGATAATAAAAACACTCGATTCGTTCGTGAAAAATTCACATACATTCGTAATACAAGTTTTTAGCATTTAGATGAACCTCACAAATTGATACCGGTATAGTTCAGGCATCGAATGGCTTCGATTTTTTTTTGTTAATCTTTTCCTGGTCGAACAAAACAGATAAATAAGTAAACACGATTAAATTGAGAGGAGTTTTTTTAGAGAAATCTTTTAGAAAATATGCATTTCTATAGTAAACATTACAGACCAAATATTGATTGTATCGTTCTTTATGATGTATCCATTACTGGTATTAATTATAATAACGGATGGAGTATAATGAATGACCGCGTTTTATATTTCAATTTTGTATTACATAATACGTTGTATTAATATTTTGTTTTCAAAATGAGCGAAATTCTGAGTGACCAAATTC